CTTTGAATAAACAACCCTATTACGTTTTGTTCCTTATAAGCAAATAAGGTCAGCTTTTGCTCCTTTATCAGCAATTAGCAATGACGATAATTGTAAGACAGAAAATAGCTCTAACTTATAGGAATTTTGAATGGTTAAGTCCAGAAAGAAAACATCCAGAGGTTTTTTTTTTAAAACAGCAATCCAATCAGAAATGGCAAATATTTAAGTCTCAATTTCTTCCCACTACCTGCTATTATTCTCTGAAATAAAGATTTATTTTCATAGGGTAACCTATTACATGGCCTGAAAAATTATTTTGTTTTCATAATTTTTAAACTTGAAGATAATATATAAGTGGGCTTTTTAAGGTTGCTTTAAGAAGTTAACTTTTTAAGGTCACTCCTTCTGCTTTAACAAACTTGACAGCAGGTTGTACTTGAATGAGTTGTACTTGACTTTTAAAAAATATTCTACAACTGTAACACTCCATTAAGTGCATAAAAGCAAAATTAGTTGACAGACAAACCACATACAATGCTATAGAAAAACAGAGACTTAGAAAAGCAGACAGTTAATCATCATTACTTGTCATTTGCTGTAATTTATTGAATCAATGATTTCAAAAGGCATTTACAATTTTAAGCATCAATTCCTATTTATACACCAGAAAGAGAAAAAGAGAATTGTTAAAAGGAGTTATCTGTCATTCTGCTTTGACAAATTACTTGAAAACGAAACTGAAATGTTCCCAGAGTTCACTTGCTAAATGAGAGCTAACTGTATCTCCAATCCTAGATCTGAAGAAATTCTGCAAACAAAACTCTTATCCAGATATACTTCTAACAGAACAATCAAATGAACACATTCTAAATCACAGATATCTGTGTTTAGGTGAATGCATTTCCTTTTCATTTAAGAATACTAACATCAATTAATGCCAATAACAACCTTTTAACACAAGTTTTGTCACTTAGATGAATCACTATTCCAGCATGTAGTTATATTTATCAAGGCACAACATAGCATATTAAACAATTTACACCAAGTTTTCTGGGAAATAACAAACTTGACTTGGCCCCAGCTATTTTTAAACAAACAAAAAAACCCAGACCACAACTAATGATAATAAGCATCTACTGCTTGAGTACGAACCACATATATGTCACACTTTCAGCTTTTATCTCAGAACTGGATTATTATCATTCACTCCTATCAAAGGATGAAATACAAAACACAAGTAGCAGCACTGTAACAACTATAACTGTTAGGAGAACCTATTTGTTTCTTACTGGGTCTTTAAAAGAATTCCTATTAAAAGATTTTTACAGTAAAGGAAAACTGAGGTAGAGAACCTAAAGAAACTGAAAAGAGCAAGTTCTGGGAAACTATTCCTTCAGCAAGTAATGACAGACTAACTTACATTGTACTAAGGAAGAGCTGCATGATATAGTTGGGAGGGATTTATTCATGATATATTTATAATTTTTCAGTTTCACTTTTCAGTTGTGAAGGTTCTTTTGAAGCCTGAACCTATTGTTAAGTGAGAATTTTGCATATGCTCAGAAGACTCACAATTCTTTTTGCAATGTCACACACAAAACCTGCTTCTCCTGATGGAACATTCTGTAAGCTCTCTGCATTAAAGCATTAGAACTCTGTTCAGAACAGATTGTTTTGAGACAGATCTCTGGGAAGAGAAAGAGCCCAGAAATTTTGGCAGCAGCAGAGAACTGCCTGGTGCTGGTTCTGACTATGAGATCCAAGAGCCTGAGGTGATCAGCCACAAAGCCCAACCTGGCCCCAAACAGGGAGCAGGGAGGAAAAAGCAAGATTGTAAAAATGTTTGTCATAGATCCTCCTAGATGCATTGTTGTGATAGAAGCAGCACTGACAAAGAGTTATCAGAAACATGTTCATGATTGCAAGATTTCTGGTATTACCTGGTACTGCTCCAGGATTTAGAACAGAGAATGGATACGAGCACAAATGTCTTGTTTCTGAATGGTGCTGAGCATTAGTACTTACTGGAGCTCCTTTTTAAGGGCGGAAGAGGAGATGCTCAACTGTACTTTCACCTATAATGCTTGACAGAAAGTAGGAACTTCATCCATGTTGGGGTTAAGCAACAAGACAATGTGTTTAACAGAGATGTTCTCTGGCAAATTTGAGAACTAGAGCCACAAACCACCATACAAAAACGTGGTTGAGGCCCAACCCTCAAAATATCACCTGCCGGATCCACAGCCACTTTTAGGGTTAATCTCAAAACCAACTGGACCACAGCAGAGTTGAAATACTAGCAAGTTTTGCTGCCTTAGGGATTTTCCCAGCTGCAAGCCAGCATCTGAAGAAGACACCACATTAAGCAGCAACAGATATTTCTGCATCTTAGACTCCTATTTTCCTATAGGATTAGAAAAATCAACAGAAGTTGCAAAATCAGAGCTATACTTCTCAACAGTGTTGTCAATCTCTTGCATGTAGCCTGAGATAAAGTGGTTCCGGGAAACACTTATGTTTAGAATGCCTATAGAGAACAGTATGCAAATTCTCTGGATTGAAAATCTGAAGAGAAACCGTACAGTTAGGGGAATCCCAAACTCCTCTCATCTGGTGTTTGAGAGTCAAGCACAGCCAATACTGTATGGCCACTGAACGAACAAAGAGACAGCAGGACAGAAGCATGCCTTGTACAGATATCAGGAGTTAAAGACACCAACACCTACAGTGTACATAGAATCATAGAATCATTAAGGTTGGAAAAGACCTCTAAGATCATCAAGTCCAACCGTCAACCCAACACCACCACGCCTACTAAACCATGTCCCTAAGCGCCTTATCTACACGTCTTTTAAATACTTCCAGGGATGGCGACTCCCCCACTTCCCTGGGCAGCCTGTTCCAAGGCCTGACCACTCTTTCAGTAAAGAAATTTTTCCTCATGTCCAGTCTAAACCTCCCTTGGCGCAACTTGAGGCCATTTCCTCTCGTCCTATCGCTTGTTACTTGGGAGAAGAGACCAACCCCCACCTCGCTACAACCTCCTTTCAGGTAGTTGTAGAGCACGATGAGGTCTCCCCTCAGCCTCCTCTTCTCCAGGCTAAACAGCCCCAGTTCCCTCAGCCGCTCCTCATATGACTTGTGCTCCAGACCCCCCACCAGCCTCGCTGCCCTTCTCTGGACACGCTCCAGCACCGCAATGTCCTTCTTGTGAGGGGCCCAAAACTGAACACAGTATTCGAGGTATGTATACATACAGTATATTAACTCATCCCTCAAAGGAAAACTTTCTTCCTTCTATTTTAGGGAAGTGTAAAGCTTGCTTTCTTTTCTCCTTAAATGAAATTACCAAACTTTTACATCTCTTTCTCCTTCTCCCCCAACCTTTCCTTCTCCCTCACACCAAGCTCACTGAAGGACCTGGAAACAAGATGGTGTATGAGGCTGTGGCCCAAGACACAGCTCTTTCCTTCTCTTCAGTAAGAAGGTAGAAAAAGGAAACTGAGCTCTAAGACTTTCAGGCTCCTTCTACAGTTTATGGGGAATAAAGTCTGAAACGCATGTCACGACTCTTAAGACAATGCTATCCAGGTCTTTCAAAAAGCCTGTTACATAGAGATCTGTCATAAGAAAATATGTCATATTTCTAGAATAGACAACAATACTCAAATAACAGTGTCTCTAGTCATGTTGAGATATATACACATAAAAAGGAATACCAAGGAATATCAAATTCTTTAAAGTGAACTAATTAATTAATCCGATTATCTTTATAACACAGGTCCCACAGTCTTACCCAGCATCCACTGTGTAACTTCTCAGAAGCTCATAACTTCTGTTTAGGATCAAACATTTGTTTTCAAAAGACTGCAAAGCTACATTAAGAACACTTCAGTTAATGGTAGTCCAGTTGTTCCAACAATTTTTAACTTCGCAGTTCACCTTTAAATACCAGTTAAGCCTTAAATATCACTTTATCAGCAACAAAATCACTTTGTGATAGTAGATTTTGAACAGAAGGGGAAAAAAATCCCAAGTTTTTCTAAAATCAGTTTTTGATCAACATTCTATCTTATTCATGATTTTTCTCCTTGCTCCTTATTCTTTTCTGCTTCTTCCAAGTCCTGTAAGTTTTATATTCGAACATCTCAAGAGCTAGATGTCAGTCTTTTCCTTCCCATATCTTCGTACTGCTTTGCTCTCAACCAAATTTCAGCTGTGACACCCTACAAATATTTTGGTGGAGAAACGTGCCCAGATTTTTCACAAAACACCATGAGCATCTCTGGCTCCACAATTGCTTGTCTGATACACATTTAGAAATACCTGTCAGATGAATCCTCAATAACTTTATAATGCTTCATAGAAACTAACCCCCAACTGGCACATTCTTCACTGCCAAAACTGGCTCTCAGCCAACAACTGAAATCAGAATATTCAAACCAGAGAAAATTGTATGAATAATATTGTATGAATAATTTAATTTGTTTTTTAGCTATTATGCTAAGTACAACTTCTCCTTTCTTTATCAAAATGAGTGTTTGTCTTCCCTGACCATCTTAAGGAGGAAATAGAAGACAGGTTAGCAAAAACTTTAAAGCAGAATTTTACATTTATAGAATAGATAGGAAAAATAGATACAGAAACAGGTAATCTTAAATGAGTGTATATATACTTGACTTATCACACTGAAACCACTAGCTTCAGTGGCTCAGGAGGAAGCTGATAAAATATATATATATACACACACACATATACACACACACACCAGCATAGTGGCTGCACTCAGAACTTCTGCTTATTAGTTAGGAAGGAAACTATCAAACCAATGGTCCACCTTTGCAACAAAAATGGTTTAATGTTTATTTTACTTGAAGAATATAGGACTAAAGCCAAAGTAACTCTCATATAAACTGAAACAGGAGCTTGTTGGAAAAATTTTTTCTAGGTTTCCTATTCACATTTATGTACAGTGGCCTTTAAAAGATAATAAGTATTAACAATATAATAAAGCTTACCTGCTTTTTTACTAAGTTTGTATAAGAATGTTTGTCGTGGATCTGAATGGTCTCGACACGTCAATTGCAATAAAGAACCAGACTTCTTCCACTTCTGCATAAACCACAGTCCTGCATTGTTCGGTACAACATGAGTATAGATCCACAATAAAATATGGAAACTCACTAAACATAAGTAAAAGTATGTAAAGTCCATATATTTAGCTCCTCGATGTTAGTTTTTTTCACATCAGCACTGTCAAGGCCAGAAACACTTAAAATTTTTGTTCATTATTCTTTTCTGCCTATATATAATAAAGCATGAAGTCCATTTTTTCCCCTAATGTGTGCATGCCTTTCTAGAAAAAAATAACCACACTTACAAGAAGTGAAAATACATTAATAACTTGGCCATAAGGCAATATACAAACTCTATTTTAATAATTTACAGAATATTAGAACATTTTGATGTTGAAATATGTAGCACTTGTGCTGGTTTTGGCTGGGATAGAGTTAATTTTCTTCATAGTAGCTAGTATGGGGCTATGTTTTGGATTTGTGAGGAAAACAGTGTTGATAATACAGGGATGTTTTCGTTACTGCTGAGCAGTGCTTACACAGAGTCACGGCCTTTTCTGCTTCTCACACCACCCCACCAGCAAGTAGGCTGGGGGTGCACAAGAAGCTGGGAGGGGACACAGCTGGGACAGCTGACCCTAACTGACCAAAGGGATATTCCATACCATATGACGTCATGCTCAGCATATAAAGCTGGGGGAAGAAGAAGAGAGGGAGTGATGGCGTTTGTCTTCCCAAGTAACTGTTACACATGATGGAGCTCTGCTTTCCTGGAGATGGCTGAACACCTGCCTGCTGATGGGAAGCATGAATGAATTCCTTGTTTTGCTTTGCTTGCATGCGTAGCTTTTGCTTTACCTATTAACTGTCTTTATCTAAACCCAAGAGTCTTCTCCTTTTACCCTTCCGATTCTCACCCCCATCCCACTGTGGGGGAGTGAGTGAGCGGCTGTGTGGTGCTTAGTTGCTGGCTGGGGTTAAAACATAACACACTAAACATCAAGCGTTACTTCTCAGGTTTCTAAAAATAACTTTATAGAACCACTGAATTCATTAAATATAACTTGAACAATGGAAGCAGAATTTTCTGGGAGGAAAATCATAGTATTATATTTTCTATGATGCTGTACCCTCTGTATTAGTCAATGAGCAAAGCTAGCTGGCTAACTGGCCTTTCAGAAAACCTTCTCTCCCTTGCCAAGCAAAAGAAAAGCAAGCAACCAAGCCTTTACAGCCTCAAGAATGTGTTGATTCAACCCTCAAGGAAATAGTTATCTTTTACTGAAGGAATTTATTGACGGTCATTAATGTATACACACAATATAGTAATTTAGACTTCAGTACCCATTACTTATTATTATCTTGGTATTTTCCAAAATCTTAAAGAGTTTGAAATGTAGAGGAAGATTATTATATGAAAAGGATATTTTGTACAGTCATCAATTATAAAGGAGATTAAATACTCCAGAAATCCTTATTTTTTCTGTGAATGTATTCTGGATTATACTTTGATAGCTTTAACCTTAGGTAACTGAAAGCCATTTGCTGGTGATTATATAAAAAAGCAAACAGCCCTCCCTCTTTGTATCCTGGAAAACTGCAATTTCTAAAAGCAAAGTAATGCTAACACTTTTGGGTGATTTGGGTGAGATTCAGCTAGAGCTTAAAATTCCGGAAAGAAACTGTCCACAGATATACTAGGTTAAACACCCAGTAGGTGCCCATACTGAATTATACTGCAGATGTCTTAACCCTGAAGTGAACCTCATTGGTAGTGTATTGAGGGCTATAAACAGTATCATTTCAACCAAATTCAAAGAGCTCTCATGTTCCCCCCTGCTTCTATAAACTCCAACAGTAACTCCAGTTAGCCAGCAATTCCTGTCCACTTTTCTTAAGCTCAATACATGTGAGTTAAAAGCTTTTCCTCCTCATTTTTGTATGAAACACAATAATAAAACAATCAATAAATAAACTGGCACTAAACAAAGTAATTAATTATTTTTAGAGTGTTTTTAAAGAGTTTAATGAGCATGTTTATATTTAGTGAAAATAAGTGTTACTCATTTTGGTTTTGGGCTCTCCAAGGTAATCTCAGAAACAAGTTTTCATTTAAAAATTTGATGCTACCTGAAAATATTTGCTAAGATTTATTTCAAAAGTCAACAGTTTCTACAAGTTCTTCTAGAGCTACATTTAATCTTTAGAAAAACAGACATTCTTAAGGAACAAACACATCTGCAGAAACACACTGCAGGTTGTAAGGTTTACTGTTAAGACATTTTTGAGAGAGAAAAGAATTATTTTAATGCATCTTACCCACTTGTTTTGCAGATTAAGTATATTGAAATTCAGTCTATAATAAATTGAGCTCAACACATTAAAACTGGAGTTTCTTTATGGTGTAACAGAAAACCTGAACCAAACATATGGGAAAACGCTTATGTCAACCATCTCTTGCACATCGTTCTATTGATACTTTATTTTTATAACCCTTCTCTCTCCTTATGACGGTGAAATGTGCAATTCCTCAAAATCAAAGTAATGCAGAAATGTGCACCCCACATGAAACTGCTAAGTGCACTTCAAAGACAAAATCTCCCCTAAACTTATACTACTGAAAATAATACATTACCTGTATTAACAAGAGCACTGCTGTTGTAGAGGGTACCAAGATGTGGTCCAGACAAAGACAGGAAAGTATGAAGTTTGTTGAGGTAATATTTAAATCGAGGTCTTGTGAGCACTGAACGGATTATTAAATTACCCAGTGAGTGTCCAATAAAGCTGTTTAAAGAGAAAGAACAGTATAACATAGAATTTTATGGCAATCTTTTTTCTTTTAAACAGAGGAAAATAAAACTGGTGTCATAAAATGCTGAAAGAGCACAGGAAAAAAATTAATTAAATGTTTCCATTAAGAAGCCTGTATTTTAGGTCACACAGAAATCATAGTTTGTCCATATCTCCCAAAAACATAGTTTGTCCATATCTCCCAAGGTGCACAAACTCGTTACAAACGAGTTCTGAGCTCCTGCAGAATTATTTTATACATCGTTTTTGAAAAGCTAGTGAAAACAAACTATCCTTCCACCAGCACCTCCCACCCAAGCCCAAGACTATTTCTGGTTGTGTTTCCCTTAGCACCAAGTATTCAGAAAATATTCTATGAGCTGTGCATGACTGAATAAATTGCTACTTTGGCATGTGATGGCATTCAAGATGATAAATGCGTAAGAGTTACTGAAACAACCTAGTGGAGAAGGATTCCAAAAGTACTCATATAACGGGGGAAACCACTACTTAACTGAATCTGATTATTTTAAAATAGAAGCAACATCTCAAATCTGCTTAGCAGTTGGACTAAAATAAGTGATTATCAGCTTGAGCAAGGCAATTGAAGAATACCTGTCTGCCAGGAGAATATTACATTTAATTGTTTCCCTGGTTAAGTGAATTAGGGGAAAGATGGATGGGACTCTTTAGCTTCATGTATCTATGAATAATTATTACTTAATCTGAGGTGCCTACTGTCATACCCACAAGTCTGTAAAAAGCATTTCTTTAGAAGAGACACTACAAAATAAAGCAATTCTAGTTATTATGCAGTTATGCTTACAGATCCCTGCTGAGGTTAAGGACCACACCATCCTAGGCACTGACTTAAAGAGGATATGGTAGAGACAAGACTCACAAAATTAGAAGAAAAAAGCACCTTCCCGTTTTACAAATGTAATCTCAGGACATGGAGAGAACAGACAACCATCCAAAAATCATAGTAGAACTATCGTGGCTAGATCATATATGTGCCACAACATTACACCCGTAAGACCATCCTTCCCGTTTGCTCTGTATCACTACATTCATCAACAAAAATAGCTAAAACAAAGCTACCAGTAATATCTGTGTAAAATACAGAGCTAAAAAATTACTTGACTGTTTAATTGCTTCCCAAGCAAGAATTATTGACTGAAAATTCCAATTTAAAGCTAAATGGAAAAAATACAAACATTAGGTTATAGAATGGCAGGGCCACCCCTGAACTCCTAAACTCTGACATAATTATACATTTCTGTGACAGAATAGGCTATTTGTTTCTTACCAATACACAGTTTAACCATATATGTATATTCTTCCTGTTCACTTTTACTAGTAGATTTTCAAAATTGCTGCAATATCAGAAATTCTTTGCTGCAGCTTGCTATATTTGCCTAACTAATTTAGAAATGAGAGATATGTATCCTCTGTGCTGTCAGTAGAGCAGCAGTGCATCTGCAAAACAAAATACTGAGCTGCTCTCTTGAATACTAAAATTTAAAACCATTCTCTCAAGAGTACATCATAAAGTCCATACAAGAAAAACAAAACTGTAGATTTCTTTAGGAACAAGAAAACATCCACAGAAATTGAGTGAATTTATCCTGAAGATGATCTACATCACACGATTGCTCTTCAGTAAAAGAGATTATTTTCTAAAGAAGATCTGAACATTAGCAGAGATGTTCTCTTGACAGTTCTCTGACAGTTCATCCACTATTTATTAAACGTTATAAAAGTATGAGAAACTTTTATATTGTACCATAACAAAGGGCAATTTTGTCACTGGAAAAAACAGCGATCCATCAATCAAACCTATCATCCTCAAGAATATGGGCATACCTGAGCCAAAACTTCAGAAACATGAAAGATCCATTTGAGGAAAAAAAGGTGCTCACAATTAGCTATGTGAATGTACCTCACAGATGAAACACTTGTTATTAATTTGTAAAGACTCTGAAAAATAACAAAGGTTACAGTAATATAATGTGTTCAAATTCAGATGTTTAGGTGAACACATAATAAGCCTTTAATATTATTTTCTAATAGAGAAAGGTTTAAGGATTTGCTTAAATCAAAAAGGAAAAGGGAGGAAAAGGAAAACCCGTCAAAAAGGGTTTTGAAAGTGTAAGACAAAAACGTAACCCATCCTACTCATTGTTTCAGATACCTGCAACTGTGGGATGCTCTGCAAAACCAATGCATTTCTGAACAGTAGGTGGCAATATTACCATCTTTTGATCACAAGATATCATCACCACACTGGAGTAATAGAATTACACTGTAGTATTTATATGCGCTTTATGGCACAAGTCTACCAATTCAGATCATACTGGAAAATTAGACACAGTAAAACCTCATTATTCTGTGCTAACAAACAAAAAATCCTGTCCAACTATTAAAAAATCATGGAAAAAAAAAAAAATCCATGAAAAGCCATAATCAAAAAGGTGCTGAAACAATGAACAGATGTTTTAATATAGGCATAGCATTAAAAATTACTTTCTTTTTTTGTGAGCTAATGTTACTTAGGGAAGAGGATGACAAGCTAAATTATTTAACTGAGGTAAAAGTCCAATACAAGTCATCAGAAATTTATGTAAGACCTGACATGAGGAAAATGGTTTCTGAAACTACACTGCAAGAGCATGTGGTTTATTACCCAGCTATGTGATGACCTGAAAAGGCTTCCGCCCTCACAGATACACAAAACTTCAACGGGTATGACTGAGCAATTTGACTTCCTTCAGACTGCATTAACTTTGAAGGTGGCACTGGTATGAGTGGGTAACTAGTCCAAGATGACCCCCAGAGGTCTCCTCAACCTAAAGTATTCTGTGATTCTTTACCAAACAGTTGTTTTGTAAGACAATTTGCTGTTGGTTTGAATCAAGCTTCCAGTTCGTGCTTGCTACACACTTGTAGTGAGCACAAAGATTTTGTTCAGAGGTGATCAACGCACATGTTGGGTAGTGTACTGGTGCAGTAACTGGTATTAGCTTTGGCAATACCAAAATGTCGGTTCACTGAAGTTGACACTATAGTATGGCTCTGGGTTCTGATGGTACAGGGAGTGCCTTTTCTTATCTCAGTATAAGAATGTAGCACAATAAATAGGATTTTGCCATTACTTGAAGACATGAGGCTTTGCATTGACCCGACCCGAGTGCAGAATCTCAGAACTTCTCTTGACTTGTCTTGGCCTGAGCTGAGTTTAGTTTGTTTTAGCTGTGACAACAATTGTCTGGCAGTGAAGTAACAAGTCAGGCCTAAAGTTGCTTTAGTTTCACTATAGTTCTATTAATAACAAGTAGGTATTCTGTGTGGCTTAAACTGTGTATTACTAGAATAAAGTGTGGTGTGGAGGAGCGCAAACACAGGTATCAATTGCCAGAGGTCCCCAATGGTCTATTAATGATCACTGCAGAAGCACAATCTTACAACTCAGGAAAGAAAGCCAGTGTTAGGGATAACAGAGAATGGAGAAGAAACAAATGAGTAAATGGGAAACAAAAGAAAGAGCATGTGGGCAGACTGAAAATATGAAATTATGAAAATAAATCCAGGCAGACCGAGGTCCAAGGAGGCAGAAACCCTCTCCATGAACATCATTCTCCTTCCACTGAAGCCCCAGGATGCTGATGTCCCACTGCTTAAGGCAGACAGAAACCACCAATCTTAGGACCCAGACAGGTGCTGGAAGGAGAGCCTACCACCTGAGAAGAGATACTAGAAAGTTTCTGTATAACAGCTGTAGCCATATTAATAATGGGACTTTTCTGAATTAATTGGGGCTATGAATTTTAGTAGTACTATAACTAGACTAATAGTAATTTCTTACTGCGTTTTTATGAGATTATTAAAACACTAACTGGACTAATAATAAATTCTTAGCTCTGCATATGAAGTGTGTTCCCTTTTGCCCGTAACAAGACTTTGAGTGTAAAAGAAGGACTGAACAGGTATTTCTGACACACAATGCTGTCGGCTTTTTTGCCATACAAAATCATTATAGGTCTGGAGACTGATTTCTAATTTGACTCAACTACTGAGCAGCACTTGTACAGAGAACACTTCCTTTAGTAGACAGGGAGATTTTATAAGGAGAAATTAGCATCGTTCAGGAGAACATGGCTAACTAGCACAAAGTCTGCTTTCTTTACAGTGGGACAGACAAAACGAGATAGGAATGCATCGGCTACTTGAACAGAGTATTTCTGGACTTTCTCGGTCATCCCTTCAAGGACTTGCATATAAGCACATCTCTTTCTGAAAGCTCTCTCATGTAGCTACCAGGAAACAGCTGCCAGGATTTGCTAATAGGTTTAACTTTCTCATAAGAAAAGCTAAAGTTGAGAGATGGAGACCTCTGCTCCAAACACAAGGCCAAACACAAGTATACACCTTGAAAAGGAAACTAAAATAAAAACTGGTAATTTCTTTTTTCTTTCAAGTGACAAGTAATAAGTAAAACTGAAAAAATATTTACAAATTGAAAGTCTTATGAGAGAAGCAAACCAAAAGCACACGAGAATTCAGTTCTCAGGTATGAACTACAAGAAGGTAACTGGGTGGGTTTGCTCATTACAGCCTTCAGACCACAGCATGAGACAGAAGATGTCAGTGTGTGCAGGTGGGTTATAGAATTCTCCTCTCCCATACCGAGGGTGCTAATATGCAGTCTGTGTAACACAAATAAAACCACACAATGCTCTTTTTATTTTTTTTTTTAAATCATCGATTTAGACAAAATTAACCATGTCTTGCCCATCTCCGAATAGAAACATTTGTTTAAAAAGTGAAATTATGTTTAAACATATTAGATGTTTTCTCTAGCTGAATAAGGCCTACCAAACATATAAGTATGCAGAAACTTGTAGAAGATGCATGTGACTAGCAAGTCAAAAAACCTTCCAGATGTATAATTTGAGGATGCCTAAACAAATGGATGAAGTCAGGCTTGAATTTGCTCCTTTGATCTATCGATGAGCTAACTCCAGCAACACAGCTGAGTTAGTAAGGTAGTCTGCCCAAATAGTGTATCCTACTTTGAGAAAATAAATGGAACAGGTATTCCCTGGAAGTAATTGAAAAAGGCAACAGGAATGCATAGACTGGGGTGAGCCTTCTATTAAGATGTAAAACATGCTTTTTAGTAGACGAAACAATCAGAAAACGTCAGAATGATGAAATATTTTTTTCATGAGGCTGCCCTTCAACATCACAGATAAGATGGAATTTCTCTGTAGGAATGACAATATAGACAGTCTGCTATGTCATACTTGGTGAAGAGACCATAAAATCAGAAGAAAGTTAACTTTATCTTGACATAGCGCTATTACAGTTTCCTTCGACTTTCTCAAATTATTATCTGTTTTTCTGCAGAAGCCTACCATGCAGGATCTGAAGCAGCACAGGACAGCAGTTCCTTAAATGTAATGCTTAACTCTTCCCTAAAACCACCAACAGGACTAGGTGAGCTTGCAACACTGTTCAGTCTTCTCTCAGCTGGGAATTCCCTCTCTCTCCGTTGTCCTCCTTTCCCCTACTCCTCCCCCTCCCTGAACTTCTCTTTCCCATCTCTCTTTTGGCCTGCTCCTGAGCATCACAGTTCAGAACAACACAGGGCTCTAGTTTTAAGTTTATTTCTATAAACAGTATAGAACAGATATTACCTGATTTTTGAAAGGGTTAGATTATAAATTTGTATATATTGTATAATTTCATCTAAAAGGCGATCTGTCATGGAATCAAAATCGGCAAAGGTATCATTCTGTAAAATAAAAGAAATAAAAAATAATAACTGTATTTTCTAATGCAGCAATATACATTCTGCATTCAGTCTGAATTGTTATTTCCCAGTGTTTTGATCAACAGCACACAAATAAAAGCATCCATATTAATTTTGAATACAAACACTACAGCTAGTTATTATAATTTTTTCAAGCTTTTTTTCTTGTAACATGGAATAAAGTGATACACATTTTACTGTAAGACTACTTTCTTCTAATACACCAAAACAAATCTTAACATTACACAGCCAGCCTTACTTCTAAGCCTTCCCCTACACATAATCTTATCTGTAGTGAAACAGAAGACCAAACTGCATTTTCAGAACTAAATCACACTGCCCATGAAATAGAAATGAGACAATTAGTGCAACAGCAGAAAGAATCTACATTAGTACTGTTTATTCAAAACAAAACAAAACAAATCCTTAAAGCCTTATTCCCAGTTCATAGCTGATTCTCTACAATGATTAGCAGTAAGAAATTAAAAAAGAGGTAGGCAAAGGCTGCCTAAAACTTTTCAACACAAGTTCCAAAGGATCTGTGCTAAAATCTGTAGTTTTCAACATATTGATAAATGATCTGGGAAAGGAAAGAAGGAGATGAGATGTCAGAATTTGGAGACAAAACCAAATATACAGGATAGTCAAATCTAGAACCAACCAGAATTTCAGAAGAATCTTATAGTACTGCATGCCTGGGTGATAAAATGGCAAGAAATGCTAAACAATGTTACATAGGGAAAAATGGCCCTAAACATACATGCAAACAATATCTATACATCTGCGTTCTATATAATCAGCTACGTTAGGAAAGCAAGGAAAGAACAGAAAATATCAATATAGCATTTTGTAAGTCCATAGCGCACAAGCATCTTAAATGCCCTGTCTAGTTCTGATCATCCTATTTTAAATGACAAGAAGTTTGAAAGTGGGCATAGAAGGATATCATGGATGACCAGAAACTGTTTCACATGTGATCCTGAGAAATACTGAATGGACTAAGTCTCTTCAGTTGCTTCCTGAGGGAGAAATTATACTTGTTTATAAAATACTCAATTAACTGAAGCGGAAAATGGGGAGTGATTATTGACTATTTTTCTTCCAAAACAAGCTGTAGGGGGATTTGTTTAAATTTCCTTGTTTGCAACTGAATTAGTAATGTATATGAACCATAGAATTAATCTCAACTGTATGTTGTGGAAACTGGAAGTAAAACCTTTCAAAAAGAATCAGCCAACATTAAGGAGAAAAGTCCGTCAGTAGCTATTAGGCTCAGTTGTCTCAATGGAATTCCCGAATCAGAAAGTTTCAGAACTGCTGACTGCCAAAAACTATAGGGTACAGAAATGAAAGCATGGCTTGGTGCCTGTCCAGCCTGTTTCGCAAAGCATCCCAGCAGCTATCGCCAGAAAAACGCTACTGCACTAAATGTACCTTTCGTTTGAGCCACTGAAGAGACTCTTTGTTCTAATTCATCCCTGAAGTATGTCTAATACAATATGTAACACACACAAAAAAAGTAAAAATTGGTCTTTTGTGCTTTGTCAAGTTTATATCTGAAAATAATGAAATTCACAAGAGGTAATTTGATATTGGTTCAGTGTCATGATGTGGATCTTACAGTACACTGACAAAAGAACAAGAGACAGGTATTTTGTATTTCTCAGAGCCTGTGAAATAACACATCTCCCTTCTTGCCACACCAATTTTCACTATCACCTTTTTTACCATTAATATCAAGGGTATTTTATCTACAATCCTAACTGATTATGCTGAGAACTTAGGAGATATCAGTACACACAACAAAATGGCAGCAACAAATGTTACTCCTTATATACTCACCTTTAATATCATACTAGGTTTTGTAATTACTTTAATGCAAGCCACAGATCAAATCATGGATTCCATGATAATACAATAAAATATACGGAATGTGGTAAACTGTAACATGATAGTGCCATTAAATAACATGTCTGAAGATGTACACTGTTTATTGCTCTGCAAAAATTCTTTTTTTGTTGGCAAATACCTGATTCCTTTCAGACATAAGAAAATCTATTCTCCCTCCAGGCAGCCCTAGCTCAATGTAAGTCTTCACTAATCTTAGGTCTGCGCTGTTACCTTAAAAGGAAAAACAATCAAGAGTTAGATACTGCAAAGTTAACTTGCAATAAAAGCACTTAGAATACCGAAATGAACCTATGGCACAACTTTATATTTAAACACAGCTAATGATATTCTCAACCCTAATTAAAATTCAGTAAGACTCGGGCAGATAAACTGCAACACCAAATGCAGTGACAAAATGGTCTATGAAAATGACATTCAACGCAGACACCGTTTAAAAAAGCAAGGATTTACATTTAAAAAAGCAAGGATTTAGGAAGTCATGTTTGATTTTGTCTTAGCATCCAACAGATACATAGCACTGTGAACATTACATTCTTCAAAACCTAATTAACTTTGATAAAAGCCAATTAACTCAGAGCTAGCTTGAAGAATTCAGTGAAGGAGCAAGGAATAAGGGCAAGTCATAAACATTTTCATAGAATAAAAAGGCAGAGTGGACTGTCAGCAGATAAAGATACATTTAGACTGGTATCCAAGTCAACAAATGCTAGTTTAACTAGCATCCTGAAGATTTCTCTACATCAATGATCATGTATGCTTTTGAAGAAAGAGTACCCTTTCTGCCTTAATTAGAGAACAAGATTTTTATTTAAATCTGTTATTAATACGAAAGAACTTGTATGAACTCGCCATTTCCTAAGAAAATTCTAACTATATGGATTTTTCTAAGGCTTCAAAGACGTGTTTTTTTAACAACAGTTTTTTTGGCCAAATTAACTTTTGTGTCAATATTAGGCACACAATAGCACTTGCACATCTGCGCTAGTAAGAAAGAATACTTCTGAGTTCCGTTTTAAAAACACTTAACAAAGGACACTTTCTGCCCAGAGGGAGAAAGAAAAGCTATTCTGTTACTTTAATGTTTTTTTAACTTAGGAATTTGAAAAATGAACAAGAAGGCTGTGCAGTGTCAGTCCCGTCCAATATTCTATCTATTGCCCTCTTGTGTTTCCTTACATTTGTAATTTAAGAAGCTTCTCAAAAAAAGACAGAAACGTTGATGGCAGAAAGCTATGAATATCTTAACTAGAGGGGATATTATTTCTTAACATGCACATATGCTTTGAACTAAAAGCAGGTGAATATGTTCAAGCTATTTAAACTTCCCAGTCCTTCTTTCAATTAGCAAGAGATTTTCTCATTTCTACTATAGTAGAGTCTCCGTCCTTGGAAATATTCAAAAACCCAACTGGATCAGGTCCTGGGCAACCTAGGTGACCCTGCTTTGAGCAGAGGAGTTGGACTAGACAATCTCCAGAGATCCTTTCCAACCTCAACCATTCTGTGATTCAGTCATCTAGCCTTTTAAAACCTTATAAACGCTTGACTGCATTTTACATATACTATTTTTTTGCTAACAAGATACACATATTTTATTTTCCTTCACAAGGTAACATTACAAATTCCAAACTAAATTGTTTTGTTAGTAACTCCATTCTATTACCACAATATAGACAAACACCTGTATGACATAAAAAACTGGAAGATGTATCTAATGTGAACTATGGCATTAAAATGGGTTTATGTGCATGGAAGTTTTACTAAAGACAAATGTTACATAAAATTCTTAATTTAAACGATTCTATGGAACACACTGTCAAATGTAGCAGTACAATGTCAGATTCCCATTTCCCTCCAATAACCTATTTCAGAAGCGTTCAGTTCAGAGTTCAAATGACAAAAGCTAAACCTGACCGGTAATCTGAACTGCTATCTCATTCAGTATCACATTCCCCAGCATACCATCTAGGCCATGGACGCAGACTATAAGATGTATTCCTTCTTCTGAACAGTCATCCTCTTCCATACTGAAATAAGGTATTGAAGAAGCCAGTTTGAAAACATCACTATACATAAATCCAGGAAGTTTAAGTTGCTTCAGTTCTTCTTTAGCCTGTAGGAAACTGCAACGAAACCATATTTATGACAAAACAAGATTTACTATTGCCAGACAAACGTAGGGTCTCCTAGGATACAGTTTTCTACTGTCTTTTTACTTTGTCTTCTATGTAATTGATACGAAGGAAAATATATTTATCAAATTACTACCTTCACAAAACAAACCAGTTCCTCAAAATATTTTTTATTGCAGCTTCCTACAGCCCCTTTTCCTCTGTAACAAAATACCCCATACCCCAAGCTCTACTCTCTTCTCTCCTTTGAACATCTCTGCAAACTCTGAAGTATTTCTGAAACCACTGAAGATTCTGCAAGCAACAGCTCTGTTTAAATGCAGTAACAAAATTACAGGAACTATAACCAATCAGAAGTCAAGGTAAAGATTTCCACTGCTATTGATAATTCTTGCCAAACTTAAAACCTATTTCCTAGGTCAGCAGAGAGCTGGAGCCAGTGCTGTAATTGCTCACCAGGAAGTCCCTCTGGTAAGCTGAATAACTGATGCTTGATCCAGAAGAAGCCAGACCCCTGATCTTTTAGATATTATATGAAGGCACAGACTCTATGGTTTCTAATAGCTGAGCTCCCCACATGCCAGGAGTTCCTTGTGTTCCTCCCTTTCTTCCCCTTCCCTTAGTTTTTTGTGCACAACCTTCCTACCTAATTGACTGCATGCCAGTTTCCCTGCAGCACTTCAAGCTTTGTGCTTCCTTATGCTTCTTTCCCTCCTTAATCTGTCTGTTCTGCGTGATCCCTCACAGCATCATGCTGTATCCCGTCCTCTTGTGCCTGCTCACGGTTTTCCTCCCATTCTACTTTTTGTTCTGTTTTCCCAGCTTTATCTTTAGCTCATTGCTCACTAACTGGCAAGAGCAATCCTCAATGAAGTCAGCCTGGACAGAAACCACCGCAGGCAGTTGGTCTTATCACTCTGCAGCAGAAGTTACTTAAGTTTGTACTCCAGGCATGTTTTCTGAACTGAATGTACCAAGGCTGGTTCTCTATGGAGCAGATCGTGTCCTCTGGAATCCCAGTTATCCCACGCTCTGGGAGATTCTGCCTTCCCCAAGGCCAAGTCCTTGATTTTACTCCGAATTCCCTCTTTCTTTTATTGTTACAGAACACCCTAAATAGTCTCTGCTTTTCATCCCTCCCATTCCACATCAGTACCCACTCTCCAGTATTTCAGAAGTTACTTTTCTGTCCACTTTTAACCTGTTTTCCTCCACCACCGCTCAATCCTTCCTCCTGTTCTTGGCTGCTTACCACAAACTATCTGGTCTTTTATCTCTTCTGCCTGCTTAGCATTCTCCTTGTTTCTACCTCTCTTCTAAGCTTTCTTCTTTCTGATAGCAATGTTTTACTTACAATACAACATATTAAGCTGCTGCTTCCCATGTTCAGTTAGCAGCAGGGGGTTATCAGGGAAACTCCTGTGTTTACAGCAAGAAGAGGTGCAACCTGGGATCTCTGATGTTCCTCTAAATGGCTTTCTTGGTATCCAAATTGCAGTGTAATTTAGAGCACCATGGCCTCTGAGGTGTTACATTTGGGCTATTTGAAATTAAGATTGAAAAATAAGGCGTCACCTTGGCTAGCACTGCACATTTCCTTCACTTAACTAATTAGATGGACAACCAGTTACAGAATGTTTTTGTTTTCATGTTTTTAAACTCAAAGCGTATTTTCCTATACTTGCTATTTTAACAGCTTCCATTTCATACACCATTTTTATGCTCAGTAGCCATTATGACATCACTTTTCAGCCGAATGATTATTTTTTTAAAAAGGAACATTCCAAAGAAACAAAAAAAATCACGTTTTGCTTAAAGTTTGTCAAACCACATGAAATGACAAGATAACTGATAGAAGGAATTCAGTGCTAACACACTTTCTGTCTGAACATCTAAAACGTGATGTTACTTCAGTGTGCAGAATCCACAAGCCACAGTCCTGGGGGCACTCTGGAGCCTAACCATGCTTCTTTTCCCCTTCTATACTACATTAACATAATTTCTAAAAGTAAAAAACTTTGTTTTAAAACAATCACTTACGCTAACATTTGAGGTTTTGGGGAGCTTTCATACCAGGAAACAGATGAAGCTGAGCTGTAGGATGTGCTGCCTGGCTGTTGTGTAATTGCATCAGATTTATTCCTTGAAGAACAGATAACATTGCAAGGAGAGTCTCTCAGAGAAGAAGGAAAAGACAGACAACCAGGAGTACAGACAGGAGGCACAGTCATTCCATCTCGCAGATGCCCACTATCAATCCTTTCAGATCTCAGGGCTCTTTCTTCTGCTGAGACATGATCCTGATCAGCACCGGAAGCTCCATCTAATATACTATAGTCTGTTTCTTCATAATACCCGTTTTCAATCATTTCTTGATCCTCCTCCTCTTCCTCGTCTTGTTGGGAAGAGCAAATAATTTCATTTTCATATGTTTCCTTTTGAGGGCTAACAGGATTGCTGTTGTCTGTAGGCCAAACATCTGAAATATCAGTGCTGCTTCGAGAGCCAAAATAGTTTTCGACAAGTCCTTGCTTTACCATGTCAGTACTACTGGTTGGAGAAGGATTATCTGTACCAGTTTCACTTTTAGCTACTGACAGTTCTTCAGTTGTCTCCTTTAGTTCTAAAGGCTCGTTATGTTTTCCTTCGTTTGTTTTTTCAACCTCATACACTGCATTTACAGATGAAGAAGCTGAAACCACAGATGGCTCACCCATACAAGTAATTTCCAAACGCAATTTAACTGTTTCTTCTGTAGTGTTAAGATGCCTTTCAAGGTCCTGAGAGTCCTTGCAGGTTGTGCCAAGGTCTGCCTGTGGGCTGTAACTTTTCACAGCAGTAGACGTATCCTCATCTGAAGCAACTAAGTGTAAAAGACCTTTTGTTCCTGAGAGCAAGGAATGTATAGATAGAGTTTTGTTATCCGAATGTCCTGAAAATACAACACACTGTTGCTCCAAATTGGTGTTTGATTTTTTACTGTCATCACATTTTGGCAAGTCAATTGCTCCAAGATCCAATACCGTTTTACTGTCACTTAGCTGGCATTCAGGTACAATAGATATCTTTGAATTCTCATCGGGTGACAGCTCATCATCATCTGAAGGCAGAGAATTTATGGATGTCAGGGATGACTGTATTTCACTTACAGCGCTGGTACTCTCAGTGCAATGGCTTTCTATTGCGTTTTTTATAGCACAGTCTGGTTTTAGAAAAAGCTGAGGAAATACTCTCTCACCATTGTATGCACTTTGCCCTTGAACATTTTCAAAAACCTGATCAGGGTTGGGGTGAGTTGCAAAAGAACTTGGTTCACTTTCTACACCTGAATCTGAAAACCTAGAAGAGGCATATGTCATGCTAATATCTGGTAATTTAGTCATGTCTCCACTTGCAGAAAGTTGACTTTCTTTTGTACAAAGAGTAGGCTGATTACTTTTTGGTTTTGTCAAGATGTCACTGATATGTCGGAAGTTTCTTTCGTGGACATCTTCCTTTTCAAGCACTTGTTCCTGTTCTCCTGAATTCAATTTATTTCCAGATTCTGAAGACTGAATATTGGGTGTCTGCACTCCGTCTTGTGGAAACTCAGCCCATGATCCAATGTGAACAGTTACTTTCTCCCCTTCATAGGGATTCTTATTACTTGGTTTGACCTCAATTGTCCTGACTCCTGAGGAAGCTGGTTGACCTCCATGACAACCTCCAAGTGTACCTCTGGGTTGTAGAGCACTATCTGCTTGTATAGCTCCAGAACCCGTCTGGGAGATAGTCAGTCTACCAAAAATAGCCACATTTTCACAGTGCACGGGGCTACCCGGACCTAATTGGACACCTTCAATCTTGGCAGTCTTGTCCTCAGTTCCAGATGGCAAAAATTGAAGTTCTCTTTGACTTATTTGCCTGGTGCAGGTCTTCATATCACAAGGAAATCCACCTAATGTAGGGTCCAGCCCTTCATCAGCATTGTATGAAGGCCTGCCTTCTGAGCTTCTAGAGGCATCTTCCAGTGCTGCACTTTTCAAACATTTGTAGCCTACTAAGACCACAGAGTCCTTAGAGATCTGTTTCACGACTTTTTTTGTGTTTTCAGGTTTCATTGTTTTCATGAGCTTAGTAACCTTAACTTTGGATTTATTTGCATCTTCATTTTTCCCTTTCAAAGTTTTTGTTAGCGTCTTTTCGCTTTCTGAATGCCAAAGGTTGGAGGCACCTGCAGGTCTTGTTTTCAGTTCCGGGCTAATAAAACCAGCTACAAAACCTTCTTCAGCTTCAAATTTATCCAGTTTATTGGACTCTAACCTTGGAAGACTCTGAACTACCAACCAGGGTACATCCAGATCTTTCACCAAAAAAAGCGAGGGGGGAAAAAAAAAGGGGGGGAAGAAAAAGGATTGTTTACAACAAGATTATGCAGGTAACTGAAGCTATAAAATACTAACAGTTATAGAACTTTACACATCCTCAACACTCAAACTAAAGAAACATTTCCTAGCAAATAAATGTACTCCTTTAAAGCCAGCAAGAAATATAAAGAAAAATACGCAGGTTTTACATAATATTTGCTCATTTCTTCAAAAAGAAAACTGCACTGTGAGGTGTGTCTACCTTCAGTAATTGAATCTAAATATCGATCTTCAAAGATTATAGGCAAGGAGTTCATATCTCCATCTAGTTCACTGCATTCAATAGGGAGGGGTGGAAGAGTACTGCAGAAGGAAGTGTTTTTGATAGCTGCACACATCTGTAGATGACTTTGAGCACTGAAAAAAAGGAAGTAGTTCTACATGAAAAAAATAGAACTATTTATTTTTACATTAATAGAAATTAGCAGTAGTTTAATTCACTTTAGTAGAAGCTTTTCTACTAATTAGTTATTTAATAGCTTTAATAGTTATTTAATAACTTCTTATATAACTTTCATTAAAAAAATTCAAATCTGTATTTAGAATATAAGTTTCTCTTGAACTTGTTATGTAAGTATTTTTGCAAGACTACTTCTACACAACATGAACTATAACATATGAAGAATAACAGTACTACATGCTACATATTGTGCACTTCAAAAGGCTACTCACTGTAGTTCTTGATAGGCAAGGGCAGCTTGCCTAGGATGCTCAAGACAAAAGAATGCTTCTGCAAATCTGCGCACCTGCAAGATCCAAATAAAGTTAGAGCTTATTTTATATTGCATACAATTTTTGAAAATCCACCCGCATTCCTACACAGCAACGTTATTAACTTGTACGTATTATATAGACAGTTACTTTTTTTTAAATGTTCAGTCTGAGAGGGAAGAGGATGCCACAGACTAGCCACTGAAAGAAGAATTTTAATTTGTGCACTGGACGACTGAGGGGAATTATATTAGATGCAACTGCCTGCTGAAATCAAGAAATCAATCATCCAAATCAGGCTCACCTGAAACAATAACACACAAAAATATTAAGAGAAATTTCAATGAGAAGAAAGGAAATGACTGTTTGATGGACACTTCTGAATGTGCTTTAGGATTACCTTCAGAAGTAGAAACCCATTAGATACTCTGCAGTCTCAAAATATAGAGATATATGCGTTTCAAACTTTTCATGAATACTCTCTAGCCCACAGTAAACTATTGTGCAAAAAAATCTTTTGTTTGTAAAGATTTCAGCTGCAAATGACAAAGACAATAACAAAGTGTATGCTAATTACAAGCACTGTATTCAAGACTTAATTGTACGCTTGAAGTCAATAAACCATACAATACTAAAATGGTATTTTACAACATAGAGGAGCATATTTTTTTATCATCAAATACATAGCGTGGAAATAGAGAGTGTGAATTATACAGCAATTTACTACAAAGTTAAGGTTTTTCAAGACAAGATTTCTCACATTTCCAATATTACATAAATATATTAATTCAATCTAGATGTATTTTTAGAACTTTTATTTTTGCAACTGCCCAATTACCTGCATCAAAAAAATGCAATTCAATGCAGTATGACAGTATCTTGTTTGTTGTAACAAGACATGCAAAAAAGAGAATGTGCTGTACAGTGGCTGTTGGCAACTGCTTGTGCATTAATTTGGGCATAAACATCATTTTGTTTATATCAATTAAAACAAAATTTCTATCCCACTTAGAGAACCACATATGTAGCTAGTCTACTTAGTCAATCATTTATTTACCAACCACTTCCTGGTCCTCTACTCCTTTATCTCTTCAATACACTCTGGGTCTTCCTCTTAAATTATCTAATTTTCCAAACAGACCATGAGAGTTTGCAGTGTTTCTGGTGGAGCAGGCATCAGACCTAGTTCAGTTCCCTCCGCTTTCATTTCACTCAGAGCTGCGGCCAGCATCTGCGTCCACCCTGAGCACAGACATGGCAGTAAGAAAATCCTGTGCATTAACTGGCAAACATCAGACTTTCAGGACCACATTACCTTTTGTTCAGAGCTAAGCTAGTTTTCCCTCCTGATACACTGCTCAGTATACTTTTAGAGAGTACCGTTTGGATGAAGTTTTATATTCTGTAGCTTCTACTTTTTCCTCTTTTTTCTTTTAATAAAAGAAAAACTGGAAAAAAATTGCTCCAAGGTGCTTAAGAAAAAAACCAACCACAAACATTAAACCCCCAATCTCTAACCTGCACTAGAAGCTGAAAGTCCTGTCCCAACTGTATTATATGAAATTAATCTCAGTGATAACATCATCTGTGAATAGTCATGGAAAATGTTTTGAAGTAAAAAGAAAACACTAAATTCAATACTTTCTTGTAAATGCAATTTCTACTCTCAGCAGTGACCAGACACACACAAGATGTACCTGCTGTCCTTCAGAAATTATGTTAAGAGTTTATGCATATACACATGGGATTACAATCAGTGTTCCTAAGTACTCCTCTGCACTTCCCCAGCTGGCTTTTCTAAACAGACTTCTACCTTCCAAACAGATCGTTTTGTCAGAGCTAATCCCCCAACCTTTCCTCCAGAAAGAGAGAAGATCATTATACAATAGACTTAGAGACAATTTTACTGGTTAAAAAACTAGATTTTAGAGCAAGTGATCGCAAAGACTGGACTGGTTATCATTCTAAACCAAGCAATTTAAAAATTAATTAAAGATCCTAATCAATCATGTAATAGGAAATAAAATAATAACAGAAATATTGTCCAATTTGTAGGTTAAAGCCAGGAAAGGAGCATAAAGCTGTTTCCCAGGACGCAAGCAAGGTGGTTTTGACTTTAGACGCGAGCAATCACTTTATCACATAAAGTAACTGGAGTTATACGGAGACCAGATCTTTAGAACTCTGCCACTATCTCAAACAGAAAAGGAAGGCTTTTTTTTGTTTGCAATAAATCCCATTTGCAATTGTTTAAGTAATTCCAGTGCTTTTGAAGAAAATCTGATTACCAGCTCAAGACAGCTCTTAGTATAATAGCAATGGTATAAAACTAGCTGAAAGCAAGATCTGAAAGCCCACATAAATCAATATTAAGGAGAGAAAAAAACCCAAACCAACAGTAGTTCATTATGTTTAATCAGTGCTTCACTTACGGAAGGACTGAGACATTTGCTAGGATGCTGTTAAACAGCCTCTGCAGAACCAGAAAAACTACCAGCTGGTGCTAGTGACTCAGGCGCTACCAACTTGGGCCAAGTCCACAATGACTTTGGCAGAAGGAAATTGTATCTGCTACTCCTAGTCCCTACAGGCTTCCCAAAATTACAGTTTTTGTGGTCCTCCCAATGTAATCAGAAGAGGAGGAAAAATCAGATAGAAAAACTGCTGTGGAATATATTGAGACCCTGCACATTTATGAGCAGCAGTCTGAGATCTTAGTTCTCAGTTCTCATTATTTTAGGACTAATCAAACTGAAAGAAATAATTTTGGAAGAGCATGTTCAGACCTACCAGAAGATGTCACTATGGAACAAACAGGTGAACTAGTTTAGTGTGCAAATTTTTTGTAATATAAAATAACATGGTCTAAGCAGTTTTTTCAATAAAACGCAGTCTTTGATGTTTGGGTAGATAATGTAGTATCCAGTAACTGCAAAACTCAATAAGAAATAGCAATTAGCCACTTCTTTAAAAAATAAAATAAGTTCAACTTTTTCAGTTACAACAAGGATCACCTCTGAGCTCAACTTAGAAGGCTCCTGAGTTTTAGAGACTCCGTGTCCCTCACTAGCAAGCTACACCGAGCACTATGTAAGACTCTTCATCCCCACACCACTATGTTGCAGGTGTAGATTCATTGCTCCAGAAAGGATTTTTTCTACAGCTTTTATGAGGAGCGGCTGAGGGAACTGGGGCTGTTTAGCCTGGAGAAGAGGAGGCTGAGGGGAGACCTCATCGCGCTCTACAACTACCTGAAAGGAGGTTGTAGCGAGGTGGGGGTTGGTCTCTTCTCCAAAGTAACAAACGATAGGACGAGAGGAAATGGCCTCAAGTTGCGCCAAGGGAGGTTTAGACTGGACATTAGGAAAAACTTCTTTACTGAAAGAGTGGTCAGGCCTTGGAACAGGCTGCCCAGGGAAGTGGTAGAGTCACCATCCCTGGAAGTATTTAAAAGACGTGTAGATGAGGCGCTTAGGGACATGGTTTAGTGGGCATGGTGGTGTTGGGTTAACGGTTGGACTTGATGATCTTAGAGGTCTTTTCCAACCTTAATGATTCTATGATTCTATGATTCTATTAAAGAATAATTTGCTTTTTTCTTATTAAAAAAAACAAAAAATTAAATATGATGTGGTGCTTGAAGCAAGTTTGTTTATGTGTAGTGACAGATTACAAAACAAGTGCGTTTAACAGCAACTGGAAAGGGAAAAAATGCAGGCATGAAAACAAATTATACTTTTTTAAAAAAAAAAAGTGAGGAAGGGAACTCCTATTCAAATTTTGTGAAAAATGCATCACAGAAATACTTCTAATATGCACAGTATCTCAATTCACACAGTATAATTAACTACTTTGATTTATATTCCCTAAAATAACTGCAGTAAAATTCAATAATTAAGGTGTTTGAGAGCTAAAGAAAATGACTTACAGAGATTTTAAAACAAACCACATTTAAGAAGCTAAATACATAATCATTAGCAGTATCTTTTTTTTTTAAATGCTGGAGCATAAAAATAAAAACATTAATACTTCTTTTGATTTTATTAAATATATACTTGTACAAACACTAACAAACCAGCAGTTGAATGCAAGTGCAGGTTAAGTGGTTAAGTGAAACAATATTCTCATTTCATACCTCCCACCCGTTAACTGAAGGATTCCAGAATTTATACGAAAAGTACGAAAAGGTAGGATTCATAGATAGCCAGTAAAATGCTCACACCTTCCTATGGCTAGCAAGTCTAACAAGTAAGCCTTGCGCTCTTTCTGAAAGATTCCATTTATTCTCCAGAATAGGCCATTTCCACAACCATGATTCCGTCATTAAACAATGTGATTTATCAAGTCTGTACATAAGACCACAGTCCAAGTATCCTTCATAATCAGTTTCCCCTCCAGAACCAAAACAGAAAGGGTTTTTTTGATGCAAGTGACAGAAATACTGGTGAGACAAATCAAATCTCTGAGAAATAAAGCCTTAAAATTGTTTTGGATTGTGACTATAACAAAGCACTGATAACGTGTATTCGCATTAACCAGACCTTCAAACAAGCTCTCTGCAAATGGTTGTACAAGAAGCGCCTCCAGATAATCTCTTAAAATCAGCATTCTATAATGTGTGTGAGACAAATGCACAGATTGTGACGTCAGACAGTAAAGATGCCAGGCCAGCTGAAGATCAAGCTGCGTGTTTGATGAGTAGGGGTGGTGGGTGTCATTGTTTATTTGTTTTTGTTTTAATGAATCTTACTCTCTGAAAACTTTAAAATGTTAGGTTTCTTCAAATCCATGGCCACAAAGGACGGGAGGGAAAAATATATTTATTAGAAAGTGAAGGTAATGCTTTAGTTCATATTTGAAAATATTTCACTATGGGAACTGGCATTGCTGTGGTTTTGCATGGAGAAAGCCCACACAACTGTATATATACATATACAGATCAACTGTGTGTATCGGTACTCACTATATATATTTTTATACATATACACACACACTCACATGCCAGATCATTTCCGATACATCTCTTCTTTTTTAAAATCCCACTTAAGAGACTTTTCAAAGCTTATGAATGTTATAAATTCCTAATTCAGAAGGAAAGCACATTTTGTTTTATGATGTAAGCAGGCAGCCTAAATGCAGTAGGGAAGTAAAATGCAGGGTGGGCACTAGGCATGGCTCCTGCAGAAAAATACGTCATTCTGCACAAATACATCTTATTCCACAGACTGCAATTTGCCTTGTGAACTGCATTTCTTATTCAAAAGATCAATGAGTTAGTTGGTTTGTAAACATAAATAACGTATTTTATGTATTATATTCCAAGAATAAGCTCTAACAACATGATACACAAGCTAACAAATGCAATACAACAGCTCCCTTTATGATTCCAACTAACCTTCCCAAATAAAACTATAAAAATTAAAATCTGGAGTCTCATTTTGACACACATCTCCATAACAATGTGTCCCAGTAAGAGTATGAACGTGCCAGAGTTCCTAAAGCCAGAGTCAATACTTACTCTTAATGTGTGATGCTCTTGTGCTAGCAATGCTGTGACCTCCTCTTGTAAGGTAATGACCTCCAGAAATTGACCCCAGAGAGCCATTAGAAGTGAGCAAAGCTGAGCAAGATTCATATTTATAAGTTCTGCCAGTTCATCAGGATTCTCCATTTTCTGAAATTAGGAAAACATATTTACATGATTAACAGATGACACCATAATGTACAGACAAGAATCAAAAAAAGCATACTTTATCTTAGTGAGAATTTTAATTTAAAAAGTAACTTCCAAATGAGAACTGTTCTCCAATGAGAATTGAATTAATCTATGTTACAACACCAACAGATTATTTTATGTTGCTTTAAATATTATCCAGTTGTCTTTTAGAATTAGGACTCCTGACCTTAAATTAAAGCAACAATTCCATTTATGGCAACCATAACTGAGTTGACAACTCTTGTATTTTCTAACATGCACAAATATAGGAATCAGCAATCAAAAAAAGAAAATCAATACTCGCTATATGTTAGTCCAAATTTGATACAATTGTAAAAATTTAATAAAGACTATTTCAGAATAGTCACAAATCACAATAAACATTTATATGGTGCTATATATCTACATACACTTTAAACATGCTCAGGAACCAGTGTTACAGTATAGGCTTCCTAGAATCAGATCACACCAAGACAAGTTCAGTGTGAAACAATTTGTTCTTTCTTAACAATGTATTGTAATCCTGAGATATAGTTCCATGCCAGTCAATTGTAGACTAGTAGGCTTATGTTCCCTGCCATTTTAGAAAAAAATGTAATTTTTCAGAAACTCATTGCAGGCACATAAGGCACTGAGGCAGAGGGGTTTAGAAAGTAAAGATAATAAAAACCCAACTCCAGCAATATTACAGAGCAAGTAGAAAAAAGGATTGCAAATACTAAAACACCAGCTTAGTAGGCAAAAGTGGAAATAAGAGGAGGAAGAACTTCTGATGAGAACTGCACAAAACAACAGAAAGGAGAAAAGGAAAAAATATAAACATACTTCAGCAAGCTAAGGGAGAAACTAATGAAACAAAATATCATAGGTACTGAAAGAATTTACAGAAGCTATGTAAATGTAAAAAACCTTTTATCATATAAAGTAAGATCATTAGTTGCCCATAGAGAGCTAACTGTGCTGGCTTTGTCTCCAGTTATACAAATGATATCCTTTTAAAGCCAGTATTACATTTCCTTGCAGTTATACTACTATTACAGTAATGAAAGGGTCTTCAAAAGCTGGGCAGATGGCCCACTCAGCAGCAAAGCATGGGCAATCTTTCAGAAAAGTTTTAAAACCTGTGCTTTAAACTTCACTGTGATAAGGAAATTAGCTATTCAGCTGGGGCTAGTTCTGACTAAGAAGAGAGTGGGGGAGACAAATCTAAGGAATCTGAAGTAGACAGTGTTTCGTTGAGAGCGTAGGGAAAACAGGAGAAGGAAACGGCATCAGGACAAGTCCTTCCAGATGAGGGGATGACTTGGAGAATCTGCTTTTGTACAACTTACTACTACAGCTTGATCTTCTATCATTGTTATTTGATACCATGAAAACCAAAGAATTCAAATTATAAATGCAGAAAATTCAAAATGTGATTTTAATACAATAATCCACCTTTCTATAATCTTCAGTTTCATAGTATACAAAAGTTACCATGGCTACTACTGACACGCCAAACCACCAGATCAACAGTTAAGTTCTGGAGTCAGTTGAGCAATTTCTCTTTGAATGAGGAGCAATTGAAATAAGTGTTGGCAAAAAACATACAGGATGTTATCACTGAAACAAACTGCTTATTCCCAAATAGCATACGAAATCAGCATACTCTACTTTCATAGTTATTTCACTTATTTTAAAAAATTTTAAAAAATTGTACCTTTACTTCTTCACACAATTCTGTAAGACGAACTTCTACATCTATGTTTTCTGGAAAGATGAGAGGACATATCCATGAAAAATGTACTTTCCAAGTTGCAGAATAAAACCAATTATCTCACAAAACAATTTTAAAACATAAAAATAAAAAAGCCCATCAAACAAAACTTGAAGCCATATTAAGTACCACAATCAACTTTAAATCAAGTAAATTATAAACTCCCATTAAAATAATTTCTTACTAATTTCTGAGATTGAGGACAGAACACAATTAATAAAAAAAAGGTTTGCAACTGAGTATCATCATCACTTGTCTTGATACCTTCTCAAGGATACCAATTTTCCATTCAAAATTGTACTTGAAAATACTGTAATTTAGATGATACAATTTGCAGATTATCCACTGAGAGCTGCTCAACTATTCAGCAGCAATGTCATCGTTCACAACTGAGGTAATATAATTCCTCTTCTACCTCCGATTTTCCAGAGATACCTTATTTCAATACCATTTTTCTACAGGCATATTATTTACCTGATTTTCAAGCTACATGAACATAAATACAGTTCTTTAATTGTCTTAGGAATTATATTTTAGTCAAATAAAACTGTTCATTAATTGATCTTTCTCTCAATAACTCAATGTTAAGAGCAAATCAGTCTTCCATGGTATGGCAGCTTAAAATGAATCTGAACCTTGAATAACTTATTTATAAAGAAAACAGATTTATTCCTTCATGTAAGATGTTTTTCCTTGCTAATCATTCCTATCCTACTTAAGGAGATCTGATCAATTAAATAATAATTTAGTACTATGTTTTGATTTCCTTCTACATCTGAGGTACCAGTAACAAGGGAACAAAATTTATACACCCTAAAATGGTCTGTGACAAATATTTATATTTAAATTCATTCTTGAAACACAGTATTAAGGAAAAAACCTACAACGTTTCTTGAAAGCATATATCAACAAAACATGCCTTGAAACCCACAATAATAGATTTAGGATATGGATAATGAACATAGGTTTACAGAATGGCAGCAGTGTGTTTACTCAACTTGTCTTCAAATAATACCACCTAGATTTGGTAAGTATATATTGATTTTCAACTAATTGCATCCATTATACTTAGGTTTAAACCTAATGCCAAACAAATTAACTCACACAACTCTGAGTTCTGAGAAAATATGCAAATTGCGGAAATGCAGGAAGTTCTCAGAAACAAGTTTAGAAATGTTTTTGAAAGAAACTACATACACCTATATTAGCTAAACAGTACTTGATGATAATTATTCTGAAAAGATATGAAAACAGTTTAAGATATGATACTACTTTTGGTGTGTTTGTGGCCGCAAAAATTTTGTCATTAGTGAAAAAATTAAATGGCTTACTTATGAGACACAATACTGATGATTTACCTTGTTTGTCACACTGCAACTGAGCGTAGACTTTGAACAACATTTAAAATTCTGAAGTCTAAAATCATTATGGAAAACCCCAAACTACAATGTTATATTAAAACAAAAAAGACAGAATAGAGACAATACAAGGCAAAAAGAAATTAAATATTAACATTCTACAGCAGTAATGTTCACCCAGTAAACGTCTGATCCAATTTTGCTGGCTCTGCTAAGAAATAGTTTTGTTTTCTTTTTAAAACAAAACCCAAATGCAGTTATAGATGATTAAGCTGGTGACCTACTATGAACTGCCATTTTATTCTTTTCCCATCACAAACTTCCTTGTGCTTAAACAGCACTGTCATCTTTTGTCCAGCATCAGGCCAACACTGACACTCTCCAAAGGGAGAACTGGCCATTTAGATATGGACAAATGCACCTTAAGCTTTGAGAATGTCTTGTGTAGTGTTTGGAAGAATCAAGCCTTGAGATACCAGAAGCAACCTGAAAGATTTCTCAGGAACAAAAGGAATTAGTCTTTAATTATCTAAAAAATTGAGTCTGTGATGAATTAAATGAAACCATAATTTTTAGCTATTTTATTTAAATGGTGACAACTGACTGAACTCTTCAATAATTTTTGTTTAGTAAAATAGGACAACACTAAACCAAAAAACAGTAATAATTTCTCATTTTATTATCTATATTCAGCCTAGAAATAAGTAGCTCAATTCTGCAGACTTCATCAAAGTTCAACATAGGTTCACTATAGCTGAATAGTGAAATAGTGTTCCTGTTTACAAAAGAATATAGTATTTTGTATTACTAGTAAGAATATAATATTTTGTATTATTAACAAAAATATAATAT